AAAGGAAATGGGTGCAATGCACCAACAGTCCAAACAAAGTGCTAGTGACAAATGTTGTGGTGGTGCCATGACTGTTTCACTGTGTGGGATTTATTTAGGAAGAGATAAGCTAGACAAAAAGACAAGGAGTAAGATATGAGAAACAAGTGGGAAATGAGACTGGTGAAGAGACTGGAGCAAACAACCAACCTATCAGCAGAGGGGAAAGACTGTTGAGTCAACACGATAGAAAATATTATCTGTGCACATCAGTCAGCCATCACTGCTTCTGCAGCAGCTGCTCTCTGAGGAGGAGGATTTCACAGGTAAATTAAGGTACAAAGCCTGAGTGTTTCATGCTGGGTGCCACCACATGATCACAACTTTGGACACTCAGTCAATTGATTCTGTGTCATTTATGCTGCCCTGAAGGCCACATTTGCAAAGCTGAAATGTATAGAATAGAAACACTGTCAGTGGCTCCGTCGACTCAAGTTGCATAACAACACTGCAGAGAACATGTTTGAAAAGCTTACTCCAACTTCCATATCAGCTTCTTACCCAGTTATTCCAGCCAAGAGAACGTCATCATAATAGTTAGAATCTGATTTAAACCCACAAAAGGTACATAGATTGGAATCCTAGTTCAATTCTAGATTCTGATTCTAGTCTAATGTAGTCTACATCCCCTTTGTATTGTAATGGGCTAGATTTCAGCTGCTGCAAACTGGAATAGACCCACTGATCTTGTTGTCCCCAACGGACAGTGTGAGTTCGTGCCCGGTGCGCTATTGCCAATGAACACACATGGGTGGAGGATCCAACTTAATCTTTATTGTTTCCAGGCTGCGCAGAGAGGGGTGCTTGGCAATCGTTTGCAAAGCAAGCACCACCGGTTTCTACCTTTGGGTACCTTTTATACATATGTTTGCAAGTGTATCGCTCAGTGATTGGTTACAAGCCACTGACATAAGACGTTCTCTACTGAGCATGTCTCTATACCTATGTTTTAGCCATGTAATTCATTTACATACATATATGTTTCATTAACATACTTTTGCCCTGCCCAGGGGTGTGATTTTTAGCATTATAATGAGACCTTTTTCTGAACTTCTTGCTATCTTACAAGTGTCAGGGAGACATTATCCTGCTGGTGTTAGGGAGGCATTCCAGGAATCCTCCGCATCCCACACGCTGTACTCTGCAAGCATCTCTTAACACACACATACCACACCCCTCCCAGCATCTGCAAGTTGCCTTAAGTATTTAGTTAGATATAGTTTGCAAAAGCTAGATATACCATAAAAAGATTACATAAAAAGATTACATCACTATCTAGCTAAGACAGACGTACAGAGTCCTTAGTATCACTTTCACCCCTCAATTCAGGAAGTTCCTTGGATTTCACTGGCAAGAAAGTTATTAGGTCAGCTTTAGTTCATGTTTCTTAGACTTACTTTAAATGCTGTGGAGCCTCATTTTGCTTTTTATCTGTCAAGGCATATTACATTTGTTGAATGCATTTGAATTCCTTATAACTCCCTGTGGCTTCAGATGATTCAGGTGTTTTCATGAAACTGTTCTACAGTACTGTAATCATTTGTCTCTAATTTGCATTTTGTGTTAATTTACCAATAGATCAAATAATAAGGTTTTTGCATTAACATGTGATTGCTAAAACCCCTGGACTATTCTCATCCTCCTGCTCTCTTTTCAGCCCTCTAAATCATGAATTCTCTTTTTCATTGAAATAGCTTTCAAAGGAGGAGTAGGCAGTGCCCCCCATAGCGGGTGCACTATGCTGGTGCACCTTGGTGATTAAAGCAGTTTCTCGAAGAATAGCTGCTGGTTTGAATTCCCTTATACTATGAAAGGAATTGAACCAACATCTCCTGTTTTCTATTCAAATTCTCTCAACCCTAACTATAGAAAATGTGGGTACTTCTGCTTGCTCTACCACTAAAACTGTCAGTTTAGAAATAAGCTCATTTTTCTGAAAGAGAATTTGTAGGTGCCTCTTTAGGAGAAGATTCTGGGCTGTGGATCCCAAGTAGACAGAAGTCAGGCACCTAAGCCAAGGATTTGCAACATATAGCACCACAGGCCATATCTGTCCCACAGAGCCACTGTATCCGGCCTGCAGGGCCCAAGGGCTTTGCTTGTGCCCAAGCCTGTGCCCTTGCTGAAGCTAAGTGGCAAGGAGCTATACCAGGGCTGGACAACTTCCAGCCAGTGGGGAGCTGCACTAGAGCCCTGCATCTGGAAGCTGCATGCATGCTGCTGCCAACTCCCCATTCCCTCTTCTATTTCCCAGCTGCAGCACAGAAGTGGTAGCAATATGGATCTTGCAGATGCCCAGCCCTGGCACAGCTCTCCACTGGGGGATGGATGCATCCATGCCCTAGCTGACAAGCAGGAGAGTAGGAAGAGTGGTGGCAGTGAAGGCACAGCTCCCAGTTGTCTGGCCCCGGCATGGGCACAAGGAAAGCCCCCTGCTGACATGCCATGGAAGCCATCTGGCTCACATCAGACCAAAGCTGGGCTGTTCCAGCTCACAGCTTTAAAAGGTTACTGGCCACTGACCTAAACTACAAAGAAAATTCCACCCTTCTGTCCTCAGCATTTCCTGTTGGCTAGCTCTAGGTACCTATCTGCTGAACATGCTGACTTTAGGAAGCTCCCTGCTCAGCGAGGCATTTTTGGTTCCCATTTTAGATGCCTCACTTTGCCCTTGTGCCCTTTGCCCTTGTGCCAAAGTCTAGGCAAAGTTTGAGTCCCTCTTTGGGGATCAGGCACCTAGGTCCTTTGTTGGACCTGGGTCTGTAGGACCTTAATCTGTAAAGCATCAGAGTGAGAATATTGTTCCTACTATCTGGGACACTCAACCTACTGTAAAGTGACCTGCATATCTAATGGTACTATGTAGAAGATAATTTTTGTTAGTAATCATAATAATAAGTAGGTAAGGATTTTGAATCACCAAAGTGGGGTCATAGTACAGAAGCAACAAAACTGGAAACTGTCCACTGATGAACTTAGCAAAGTCAATAGATGCCATCAGTAAATGAAACAAAGAAAAAAACAACATATTACTCTGTCACATTATAACATGTTTATGCCACTATAAACTATAAAAGTCACAACACTACTCCTGAGGTAAAAGTAAGGGAGAGAGAATGGGGAGAGACTGAGAGTTATCACATAAACATTTTCTACATAGGATACAAATGCATCCTATTATATTATATTATATTATATTATATTATATTATATTATATTATATTATATAGATATCTTTGTAATGTTTTAGGATCTGTATCTCCTCATGGAATCAGTGCTGTATCAAAGATAAACTGCAAACAATTTAACCTTAAAATTAATCTTCTTGGACTCTTATGTATTACTAACTTGCTGGAGTGGGTTTGATAGTGATATCCTCAATCAAAAATAACCCTGAGAAAAATATCAGTGAGTCTGCAGATAAAAAATATTTATCCAATATAATACCTAGGTAAGGAAAATTACCTGTAGATCTGCTGTCTTCCTGTATCTTCAAATTAGCCACTCACTGAGAAAAAGAATTAATACTAAAAAGCAGTAGGTGCCTGGGTACATGGGGTGCCACAAGAACCTTTGAAGGGTGGCGTGACGTATGAGGAGATAGCATGTGAATAGTTGGTAAATGAAGGCTCAAATCTCTGCTTGGCCACTCTGCAAGAAAGTGAGCACTGTATTATGTGTTAATCTTTTAAAAAGAGTAGTTCAATTGACAGGTCAATTGTTCAAGATCATGTGTATTACATTTTTTGTCATATCATTTCTAACAGATAACCTCCACTATTGCTACGATGACAAACTGGTTTGTTTTCTGATGAAAGAACTACATCACTGGTAATTAGATGATTTCTTGGAAGATAAGTATTAATTTCTAATGTATCTTCTAATTTTTTTAAAATAATATACCATTGATACTCAGAAATCTGAATGATTTTTGCTCTTGTTAGAATAGTGGAGCTCAGCCTGTTGGCCCTGCAGACTGGGGCAGAGTCAGTCCACAGGCCAGATCTATTACATAACCTTAATCCAACATGTGCTGGATTGAGCCCTGCTCCTACATATTATATCACACCCATGACCCTGGCCCCATGTGCCAGGTCACACCCAGCCCAGTCCCTGGCCTGGCCACACACATGGTAGATTGGCCCTGCCCCTGCCCCTTCATGCACTGGATCAGGCTGCTGCTCAGGCCCTGGCCCCAGCCCTGACCCTGCACACTCTAAATCAGACCTGGCTCTGGCCCAGGCCCTGACCCCCACCCCATGTACCAGACTGGGCCCATTATCCCAGCCCCAATCCTGCATGTGTCAGATCAGGCCTGCCACTTGGTCACTGGCCCTGGACGTTCCAGCCATATCCTATGTACAGGGCCATGTTATCTGGCCCATGGGGCTTAGAAATTTGATGGGAAGAGAAACCATGGTAGTGTTACTTGCCACCACCAGCCATCACCACATTTTTGGACTCCTAGGTAGCACCAGAGGCTGAATCACATGATTCCATAAGCCAGATCTGGCCTGTGGGCCAGGGGTGAAGCACCCCTGCATTAGAAGATTTTAATGTAATGAGAGCTATTGATTTAGCCTACAAATATTTTAACTACAGAAGCTGATTCCTTTTGATTTAAGGTTGCAGGAAAAAAAACAGAAATATTAAGATAAAACTCCTTATAAGGGAGCCATTTTTTCCATGTTGAAATTGCATACTGCATTGTACTGTGTATTTCTGGTGAATGGAGGCACCTTGACTGTGAACGAGGGCTACATTTTAAGATTTCTGACTACTGTAAAAAAGCAATCTGAAATGCTGTCTTCAATAGAACAAAAATGGAGCCTTTCAATGCTTAAGTTCCTTGAATTTCTAAGGACCTAGTAACAGAACGTGTTGTCGCTTCCAGGCCAAACGTCCCTTCTGCTGGAATTCTGAAACATGAGTTCAGCTACCAAATATAGATGAGTGGGGTAAGAATTACATAGTCACGGAAGACAGATGTAACTCACAGGCCACAGTTGCCTCAATGCTTACTGCGGACCAAGCAATCTTTAGTGAATAGCTAAAGCAACTTTCAGCCTTCTTAGACAAAGAAGAAAAGAACAGCCTTATCTGAAATAAATTATATTTGATATTCTTCAAACTGGCCTAACATTCATAAGGTCTGTAATATATTTGTTTGCAAAATTTAATTTATAGTGTTTGGGAGAGGGATAACAGCAAAAGGTTTCAAGAACCTTAATTTTCTTTCTTGCTTGTTTCTACAACATTATTAGACATTTTCCTTAAATTGTTACTCTTTGAAATTGCTTGGTTTTGTTGTTTTTCTCTTAAACAGCAAAATATTGTTTTTCTTTGTGTAGTTTTCCCAAATTTTCAGATGCTTGTATTTGTCCACTTATTATTTTCCTTTTTATTTCAGTGAGGAAATAGGAATATTTTTTTCCCATGCTAACCTATAGTAACGTTCTTGTCCACTGGATGTTTAAATATGATGAAGTATTCTTATTTCTTCTAAAACTATGAAAATGATTGTCCCTGTAGGAATATCACAGATTATAATAGCAGTCTTCTGTGTTAATGCTTAGAATATCTATGATAGTTTATATGAGAAAAAAACTGACCCACAGAAATAGTTTGTGCTTAAATAAAGTTGAACAGTCTAAATAACATATATATAAGTTTTAATTTTTGCTTTTAAAATTATGTAGTACATTGTTCTTTCATTACTCATTAGAAAGATGTGCAAAGCAGTGTTATAAATATGCTGTAGTCTAACCAGGAGAAGCCAAAAATAGCATTAGATAGTTCTAATTATGATCTTATATGCTACTTGATATGATTACTGTTATTTTAACTTTACTTAACTGTGATTTAAAGAAGCCAGCTATTCTATAGAACACTGTGGACTCCCTGGAGGAGAGTTACATTAAAATGGAAGTTGAAAATGTCTTCAAATCAAAATTTTCAAACCTGGATACCTGATTTAAAATCTATATCCATATTTAGGCACCAAATAAGTAGCCAGATTTTTCAGAAGTGTTGGTTACTTGTCATTTTTACTGATATGACTTACTTTTGATATCTAGCTGCTTTGTCTCTGTTTAACCAGATCCTCAAATGTGAAGTTTGAGAATTATGATGTTAGGTATATGTAAACCATTCTTCATATATAAATCAGATGCAAAATGATATAAAGGTCAAATAGCTGTACCAGGTCTGCCAGTTTACAATATTTGTATTTTAATATAAACTTAATATTTGCAGTCATGACAAGGGGCAATGAGCTGAATGCGGCTCTGATTTACATCCCACTGAGGCAACAGAACACCATGTGGTGGCAAACAATATGTAACCTTGAGGATGTGAGCATGAATTGGAAGGAGTCAGAGAATGAACCAGATTAGGCAAAGACATACTTATGAAGCAGAGTGCATTTAAAAACAATGAATTATCCTTCTAGCAAAAGAGCATATTTATACATTTTTATGCAAGGTTTTAAAAAAATAACTGTCCTAGAGACACAAATGCTACTGATTTAACCCTTGCTACCCTGGCCTATATCCAGGTGCCTTAACAGCTGGGCCAGCTGTTAGCCTTGCCAGCTCAAGTTCATTTTGTAAAGTGCAAAGATGTATTTGGTTATATATATATCTACTTTTTTTGATTTTGTAACAATTCATTGCCATGATTGTTTGATGCAAACAGGAGTGAAAGGAATCTCTTTGATCTAATTGCAGTAAAGACTAAGCCTATGGACTCAGTCTATAAAAACTCTGCTTCATTTTCCAAAATATAAAACACTTTGGTTTCTTTATACTTCCCTTTTATGTGCTTTCTTGTAATTCATTGGCAGGACATACAGAGAGAGAAGAGATAGCAAGAGGTGCACATACCGGTCCAAGAATTCAAACAATCTATCAGTCAGTTAATGATTACATGCTGGGTTAGCCTCAGTGAGGTAACTAAAAGTAATTTGAGCTTGCACAAGCTGATGTAAAATACATCCGAGTGCATCACATGACTATCAAGCCATCTATCAATCACTGAAAAATGCAATAGGACATACAGTGAAAATGCAAAGCTAAAACAATCTAATTTTAGAAAATTAAACTCTCATGGAAAGAATTACAGTAAAATGATGATAATCAAAGTTATTTTAAAATACTGTTTGCTTACTGATGATGTCAAACCTGTAATTATCATTCTTGGGACCAACTTGTCACCAAAGTAGCATCCAGGAATTTAAAAACATTTGAACACTTGGAGTTTTCTGTGGATCTTTCCACCTAGGAGAAATACAAGTTTTCTTCCTCCTGAACAAAACAAGCAGGGAATGAGATCTGCCAGAGAATATCATTCTCCTTAAAAAATGCTGTGGAAAAATTGAGGGGTATATGGAAACTTCTGTACTTTATACAAATACTTTTCTGGTGCTGGGTGGTACATGAAAAATATGAATAATACTCTTCTGGAGTGGTGTACAATATCTACAATGAGTGGTAATCTGATATCCCATTTAGAGAAATTATAAATATTTTGGATCATGCCACTGCAAAAGGCAAGTTCCAACAGGGATGAAAGAAGGGATAAAAGGTAAACAGCTATAATTATAATAATAGTAATAAATATATAGTTAATCAAAAGAAAAAGCACGTAAATTCTAATCAACAATATTCTAGAGACATCCTAATCTCAGAGATCCAAATATTAATATAGTTGGTTTAAGCCAGCACAACATTCACTTGTTGTGATTTGGCTTCACAGTATGCTATGAGTTATAATGATATTCTATAGGGAAAGGGATGCAGGTATAAGGATTCTTCAATATTAAGTGCGAAACCTTTCTAGGTTCAGCATATATGTATACACACATACAATCAGCACCTTGTATGTGATACTTGAATGAATGAAACAAAAAGTCCAGAATTAACTCTTTTTATTTACTGCAACCAATGGATACCAAACAGCAAATGAAAACCATACAAAGAAAACATTAAAGTTCATTATATATATTCTGCCATGCAGAATTTGGACATCACTGCTAGGATTGTATTTTACTAAGTCAGTGGTACACCCAACATGGTACACCAGCCACCATCATTTCCCTACTGAGCATGCTCAAAACTTCCCAAGATGGACGCAGTATCTGCCCATCACTCCACAAGGACTATTCAAGTCACACTTTGAACAGTTACCTCTTAGTAGAAGGAGATTACTTCCCTCCTAGTAGAAGTACATCACAGAAGTCAACATGAACTTAAACACAACTGTGGAATGGGTAAGCATTATCAGGAAGAAATGAATCACTTAGTGGAGAAGCTAAGTTTGCTTAGCAAAAGAGAGCATTTGCAAATTGGAAATCTGGTTTCATGCAGGTAACATAGTTCTGAAATATCTCATTTTTAAGTAAACTCTTGGTTCAGGATCAGGCTTGTTCTAAAATGAAATAAATGATCATGATACTCACAGTCCTTACATTGCTAGGTCTAATTCCCACCCATTCCCTGCAACTCCAGGTTTCATATCCACTTATTTGTAAGTAAACAACCTGCAGTTACATGAAAGGAGCATGTACCTAAGGTGTTTTTGTGTTCACTTTTTTATGGGGAATGTATTCATTTTTCTTCCAGAATGCAAGACAGAAGCTGTGAGCAAACAGTGCCTCTATCTTTAATGCTGAAGGAGGCTTACTCTTCAGAGAAAAGATCCCATGAGGGATACTCTGAAAACACATCAGAGGCTTCTTCATCCCATGACTCTTTTTATGATTCCCTATCAGACATGCACGATGGAGAATTTTCAAATGAGCTTTCTGCTTTTCTCAGCCAAGAGGAGATAAATAAGAGCCTTGACCTAGCCCGGGAGGCTATTGCTAATTCTAAGAAGGAGGATCAAAATACAGAACAGGAGTTGAGTCATTATTTTAACACTTCACTTCCAATCTCATCAGAAAATGCATCTTCTAGGGAGACCAAAGTGCATGAACAAGAAGCTTTGGGGAGGCCTCAAATAAGGAGCCCAATTTCACTGTCAATTACACCTCAAACTTTTCAAGAGCAACTGAAACAGCAATCACCCATGTCACCTCGGACAGCAAGCAGTTTTTTTTCTGGGAAGGAAGCAAACATCTCACCCTTGTTACCTGCTAGTCCCAGTTTTATTCGGAGTCTCAAAAATGCTCAGAAATGTGGTCCAAGTCTGCAAAAGACAAGTTCAAAGTCCAAATCAGTGCTCCAAGGAGATGCTCCTTTCAAGAGCAAGTTGTGTGACAAGGCTGCCACATTCATTGAAGAACTTTCTTCCATATTTAGAGAAGCAGCAAAGACAAGAGGCAGGAGTCCTGATGGGGACTCCTCTTCCCCAGACAGTGGATACCTGTCACCTAAAAAGAAACAGTCGGCCATGATGAATGCCACAGTGAGTCAGATCCCTGGTGAAACATATGAAAAGAGTAAATCTGAGATAGAGTTATCTGGTGAACATCAAAATGGAGAGCCCTTCCATGAGAAAAAAAATGTCACCCAGCAGAACGAAACTGTCTTACGCCACCAGCTCAGCAATGTAGGGGGTCAGAAGTCTTCAGCTCCTCGATTTATCCAGAAACTCAAAAGCCAGGAAGTTGCTGAAGGAACCAAGGTGCTGCTGTCTTGCCGAGTCGCTGGAAATCCAATACCTCATGTCAGGTAAGCACATGGTTTTATTACAATCCTCATAAACAACGGTTGTCATCTTCTAACTTTATTTCTAGGAATCAGTATTGCCAGGGACCTACCATTTGCATAGTACAGTATATAAAATGATCAGATATTCCCATTTCTTTAGATATGTTGCTATAACCTACACCTGTAGTAATTTCTTTGCCTTCATTTGTATAGTGGAGCACTGGCGTGTGCCTCCTCTTGTAAGGGAGCTAGCAGCCTGCATGGCTGTTTTCAGGTGGTGCAGGGAGCTAATGAGAAGCTCACCTGAATGAAAGAAGGCTCAGTCTGGAGCTATATGGCTAGGGACAGAAGTTACACACAAACCAGTTTAAGTGGTCAGAAACTGGTTTAAACCTGTAACGGAACAGAATTTCAGTGCACATTAACCACTTTCAAAATGACCAAAACTGGTTTAAGATAAACCTGGTTGGATGTAGTATCAGACTTAACTGATTTAGGTCAAACCAGTTTATGGAACTTCTGTCCCAGATCCCTTCCTGGTTCAAGTTAACTCACAGTCTCCCAGCATCCCAGGATGCTTTGCAGCCCTGGGCTACAATGCCTGCTCCACTGGAGCAGGGACTGCCTCACCCCTCTGCTCCTTAGCCTGCTTTCTGCTTGTGTCTGCCAGCCCATAGGGATGGCGGGGAGCAGGGGAACAGACCTCTAGTCCCCCTAGCCGGGGTCTGCACAGCACATGGTAGGAGGGAAAGCCCCTCTGGTGGGGGCTTTTCAGACCCTGGCAGCCCTCTCCCCTCCCAACTGCTGATTGCTTCAGTGGCTGCCACAGGAGGGATCCAGGAGCAGGAGTCCTCTGACCTGGATGCACCCCCCCCCAAACCCCTCCCCACACTCGTCCGAAGTAGATGTGAGACCAGATGCATGGGAAGAGGGGATTTGAACCAGCACAGTGTTCAAACCACCAGACTACAGGTTACAAGTTATCCAGCCCCATCTCCAGCTCTCCCATGTAGTAGTTTTGTCTCACTGAAGCCACAGTCTGGAAAAATACACGCTTAAAAACATGCTTAATCTAAACTCACCACTGAAAAAGGGTAATTTGTAGACATGTGTAACTGAATCAATCCCCTAGCTCAAACCTGCACATTGAGTTAATCAGTCTCTCCTGATGAAAAAAGGCTAGTGATGTTGCAGATAAAGAAAGAAAGAATTATTTGGTTTGGGCTGAGTGAGCCCATTTGACTATTTACAAATGACTGATGCATGCAGTCAGGGTAATCATGCATTTTTAAGGATTTTGCATGTATTTCTATAAATTTTTAAAAGGAAAAATACTCCTATGTTAACTTCAGACTGAAGAAAGCAAATTAAAGCTTCAGTACCCAAGTTAAAGTCTAAGAGTGTCAACCCAAGTATATTTCATTACTAATCACAGAAGTGCTTCATTCACTTTAGTTAATTCTAAGTAAACATGATATAACAATAGGGGGGGCTGTTGGCTGATAGCATACTATAGGAAAGTTAGTTGCCAGCAAGACTGCAAAAAGGAGTTTGGGGTGGGGAGTAGAGACTCCCATCTGTTACCCGTCTTCCTTGACCTTATCCTGCACAACTATACTAATGCAACCTGTAATGTAAATTGGTAAAGAAACTATTTTATGCATGTGGGAGACCCCAAGTAAGTTTCAAAATTACAAATAATGTTCTGTCAACTGTAGATACAGTTACAGCAGTGGCTGTATTGGAGTGGTTTAGATAAGTCCCTTTCTAAATCTAATTCAACTCAGGCAAATTTAAAATATGATGTAGGTTCCACTGTTGGCAAGCAGGGCAAACCCGTCACTGGTATCAAAGCTGGCTTGTGAACAGGTTACTAATAAGTCTGGGCTCCCCCTGCTGACTGTTTGGCTGCTTTTCCAGTAGCAGACAAGAAAATAGGAAGATTCATAGATTAACAGCACATCTTTTTTCTGCTTTGTAAACACAGATATTGAAAAAACGCTGCTGTCTAAAAAGTTTAAGCTGGGGCAAAGTTGTTTCTTAACCATTTGATAGTGTTCTTTTCTAAGATGAATGAAAATTATAAGCTATTTTCCCCAGATCATATACACAAGCCATGAGCCTTACCTTTTTTAGTAAAACTAGGTAAGTCAAACAGGCCTTATATCCTGGCCTTTCAAAGTATGGAAAATTAACAAAACACTCACATTGCTAAAAACATTTAAACTGGATATGCTGATATTAGCGAGGCACGCTAATTTACCACTTCCTTTTTGTTGTATGTCAGTCCTGAAACTTTATTGGCATGTTGTCTCTTTAGACCAGTGGTTCTCACCTTTTTTTTCCACACCCTGCTGCTGGGAGCAGAGTGTGGCAGCAGTGGCCCTGGGGCAGGGGAGCTCCCAGCACATGGCGCAGCTCCTCTTTTCTGTGTGGCACCGTCGGTATTGCCCCCACAACCCTCATTTGCGTCATGACCCAGGGTTGAGAACTGCTGCTTTAGACAGACTTATCTGCGTAGGAACTATAGACAAAAATCAAACAACAGGGAGAATTAGGCAGCTTCAAAGAGCAATTCTGAGAGCCTGGATACAGAGTGAGGAGGCTCCAAGAACTAGTGGATAGGAAACACAAAGTACTCTCTGAGCTTAAGCACCTAACTCAGAGCTGCATTTGAGACCCAGAATGTATGCTCATCTTCTAAGGTAAGCAACTCACTGAGCAGGATGTGGAGGGAGGATGAAAGTCAGTCAAGAGAATTTACTCCTTGTAGTGAATACCAAAGACAAAAAAAAATAAAACACTCTGATGAGTAACAGTGAAATATAAAGTGAGGAATTATTGTTGTAAATAGAAATATGCCATAACCTTGTTCTTTGGGTAAACCTGATATCTTTTATTAGACCAACTCAAATAGTTGGGCAAACTCTTAGCAAGCTTTCAGGTTTAAATACCCTTCATCAGGCTAAGGAAGCATATGTAGTTGGTATGTGCTTTTCCTAGAAGAGCTCTTCCTGGAAGAGTATATACCAATTGCAGATGCCTCCTCAGCCTGATGAAGGGTATTTAAACCTGAAAACTTGCTAAGAAGAATTTCTCCACCTATTTGAGTTGGTCTAATAAAAGATATCAGATTTACCCAAAGAACTTTGTCTGCCTATGTCCTTAGACCAACACGGCTACAACACATATCCCCATAACACCATTGAAATTTCTTCAACAGTAGAAAAAGGAACCATCCAGAAAAATATAAGAAACCTTATAGAAGGGGAAATTCCTTGATTTTATAGCTGCATTTCCTTGAAAGGCTTCTAACAATATTTTATGTCTAAGTAAAAACTTAGATTGGACAAATTCGTAAATGCCCTCAACAAAAAGGACGGTCAGATCAAAGAAGTTATCTTGAAACACATTTTCACTCCATTGCAATATGCTATTTTTCATAAAAGCATTTCAGAATGGCTGTACTTCCTTAAATTGAATAGCAAATGAGAATAAATGGTCTAAAAAAAAAAAAAAAAAGCAAGTGTTAAAAGGCAAGGAATGTGGAAAAGTTAGAAGCCAGCATCTTTTTAATCAAGCCAGACATATTATTAAAAATTAGCAATCAAATTGTAGAGTGGGGTTGTCCAAGTTTTAAGTGACTAGGGGCCACAAGGTAGTGTTGGCTGTGCCATGAGGGCACCCTTTCTACCATACCACACTGCACTGCCACCATCAGTTCCCCAGCTTTGCAGGTATTGCTGTGGCACACTACCCGCTGGCACAGGGGAAAGAAGCAAAAGCCAGAGGAGGGAGGAGAAACCCAGACACCTCAACTACTGCTGTAGCTTGAGCAATAGTGGGGGCAGTGGCCGGGTGGGAACCCAGAGACTTCAAATTAACCCTTTGCCAGGCACATGCAGCATGCAGACTATAAGCTGGACAGCCCCATTGCAGGCAATGCAAGTGTACTGTAAATTAAATGCATTATATTCCTTATTCATATTTTTATTTTTCCAGTTTATAGAACAGAAGTATAAGCACCTGACCTAAATGATTGGAACACAGCCTCTAGTTATATCATAGCAATGGGTCATTGTTATTATTTTGTCTGTCAGAAGAGAGAGGCAGTATTCTTGTTTTACTGTGCCCCTGGCTGCAGAAATGTGCAAGTAAAACACAGCATTGGGAAGATGTGTTCAAAAACTTATTTTTTTTAATACTATATTTACATTCCTATTAGAATCATTACAGATGTTGTGCTCATCCAGTTGGTGATATGTTAAACCCACGCCCACAAGGAACACCAGCTAGGGTCTGCCTGGCAGGGGCAAAGCAGCCCATGCCTGGCTTTTCCCCTGCTCCCCGCTTGAGCAGAGAGGTGGGGGCATGGCCAGATGGTGGCATGCTGAGGTCGAGGGGGAAGAGGGGATTTAAACCCCTCTCCCCCCATTCATCTCAGCCTGCCAGCATGGCCAGCATCTGGCCACACACCCCCACCTCTCCGCTTGAGCATGGAGTAAGGGAAAAGCCTGAGGAGCTGTTCCACCCCTGTCAGGCAGGCCAGGTTTAGAGCCAGGTTTCCCAGTCCCCACCCCCTTCTCAGCCAGCCGGAGCAGTGACAGTACTCCAGCTCATGAGCAGAAGGGTGGGGTCAGCCCTGCCCCACTGGAATAGACAGCAGAGCCCAGGGGAACAAATCATCCTCCAATGCTGCGGGACTGTGAGTTAACTTCAACTGGGAAGAAATCTGGAACAGAAGTTCCATAACCTGGTTTGACCTAAATCAGTTAAGTCTGATACTACATCCAACCAGGTTTATCTTAAACAGGTTTCAGTCATTGTGTTTGTGGTTTAAGTGCACTGAGCTTCTGTTCTGTTACAGGTTTAAGCCAGTTTCTGATCACTTAAACCAGTTTATGTGTAACTTCTGTCCCTAGCCTAGAAGACATTTTTTAAATGTCAGTGCTGTTCCAGGACAAGGCATTGAGAAGAAAATTAACTGCATTTTTTTCCAGCTCCTTTAATATCAACAATGA